AAATCAATCTTATTGAATAATGAATAGATTACTATTTATTTGTTTAGGTATGTAATATATTTTCTATTTGTGTATCAACAAATGGTTTTAATTTTATTTAATATTTTATTGTATTAATATGTTGATACATATATTCTTTTATAATTATTTATGATTATATCATAAATATTTCTTATATTTTAATCTTTTTATTAATTAATTTAAATAAAATAAACACTAATATTAATTATAATAATGATATTTGAAATGATAATATTACAATATTATGAGTGTTTTATATTTAAAATAATTTAGAAATCAATTTAAATATTAAATAATATTTCATCATAAATTCTAATAATATTAATGATTTATAAAATAAAATACAATATCAAAATCACTTTGAATAATTATTTAAAACATAACACAATAAACTAATACAAATTTAAATATAAAAGATATATAAAATATAAATGAATAAAGAAATATAAAGAATAAGAAATAATCAATGAAAATAATCAATATAAGAATTAAATAAATTGAAAATAAATAAATAAAGTAATAATAAACAAATAACATGAAATAATAAGATAATTAATAATTTATTTGATAAATTAGTTATTTATTGTTGATTTATTGTTCCACTTGGTAGTTGTGTTGTAATCATATTCTCTATTATTTTATTTTTCTCAGTATTCATAAATATAATGAAATAATAACTAATTCAAATTATTGAATTACATTGATTTAAGATAATTGAATGAATAAAAGATACTTGTTTATCTAAGAATTATATAATTTGTATAATGAATCTTATTATTATCTCATATATTTCTTCTCATTCAATTTCTTTTAAATTATCAATATTCTTATTCTGAATAATAAAAACTTATTTATTTGATTGATTAACATTGAATATGATATTGAATATACAAAAATGATAAAAATAAAGATAGAATCTAACTTATTAACATATCAATTATATATCACCATAAGATATCAATATAAAATAATAGAAATAGTGAGAAACTACATTCAAGTAAATATAAAGAATATATATCCACTTTAAATTGAAACACCAGAAAAATGAATATTTAAAAAAGGAAAAAGAAAACAAGAAGAGATAATAAATAATATATTCTAGATACTAAAAACTACACTGTAAAAGAAAGTAAGAAATACAATATATGAACATACAACAAGAAAAGAATGAAGATATTAGAATATACATTGAAATCAGTACATTTTACAAAAATAAGAATAACATCAAACAGTGTATTGTTAAGAATGAACATGAAAATAAAATTAATTGTTCTTTTAAAATTGAAAATCTTCTTAGAATAAACAATTGTAATTGTGATATTTTTTCACATTCCAGAATGCAATTAACAATGATAATGAATGAAGTAATCAATAAAGAATCTTTTTAAATGATGAAAGAACAATCAACTAAGTCAATTCGAAATAACAGTAAAAGAAATACTAAATATAATCATGAAACATATAATAAAATAACATGAGATTAGTGGACATAGAGATATAGAAGTATCTCATAAACAAGAACCAAGAGAATGAATGAGTTAATCTAAATAAACAAAGTGAGATAGAAAAATCAAACTACTTGACTCAGTGATTTTTACATTTGCCCTTGGTAGTGATGTGAATTTTCTTGTTTTTATTGCTTTCGTTTGAATTAATACCTTTTCTATTTCTTTCTTTTTGGACATTTTTGTACTTGATAATGCTGTATTCATTTCTGTGACCTCTAATTGCTATTATACTTATTTTGATTTTCTAAAGATTTGTAGTGAGTTCTTTCATCAAAAATCAGATAAAAGAAAATCAAAAGAAAATCTTAAAAATATTTGAAGTTCAAATAAAAGAAGAATAGAAAATACAACAAATAAATAATAAATCAATAATGAAATTAGGATATAATGAAATAATGATAACATCAAAGTATTTTAATGAAATTAAAGATTTTATTAATTTAGAAATAGGAATTAAAAGATTTAGAGGAAATACCGAACAATTTCATTTTAATCCAATTCATTTTAATCACTATTCAAGAATATTATTTGCAAATATTGAAACATTTCATATTTATGATGAAAACAATATGGTATTTAAAGATGAAAGAATAAATAAAAAATGAATGGTATTTTGTTAATTATTCAACATATTTATAAGAAAAAGATTACGGAATGTTTGTCATATAGAGTATTCAAAAGAAGACAAATACACATATAGAAACACGGTAGTACCAGATGTTAAATCACTGAGTGATAGTTGTTTTTATAATCGTTACTCATTAACAACAATTAATATATACCAACAACAGTTAAAGAAATAGGAAACAATTGTTTTGATAGATTTTTTTGTCATTGACATCAATTACTTTACCATCATCAATTAGTGAAATAGGATGTCAATGTTTTTTATTGATGTAAACATTAATTAATATAGATATAGAAAATACAGGATATGTAAGAAGAAAAATATTTTGAATAAACCAGTGTTATTTGGTATTGAAATACCAGATATCTAAAGGAAATCAATCAAAAGAAAATTGAAAAGAAAGATATCAATAAAACTATTATTCAAACTACAATTAGTAAAAAGGAGATTTGTGTTTTTACGAATGTTCATCATGACATCAGTTACTATTCTAACTACAACTAGTGACACATGGTTTCAATGTTTTAGAGAATTATGTTGTTAACATCAATCAATATACCAACAACAGTTAGTAAAATGGGTGATTATTGTTTTGGTACATGTAAGTCACTACAACTATCACTATTCCATCAACAGTCACATCAATTGGATATAATTGTTTTAAAGGATGTTAGGAAGAATTAAAAAAAAGAACCATGTTTTAAGGAAAATGTATTTTAAAGGTGAAAGTTATTGTACTATTATTTAATCCAAGTTTTATTTCATTAAACTTATTAATTTACGATAAGAATAAATGTAAAAAGAAGTACAAATTTAATACTGAAAATAAACAGAGATGATAATAAACAAATGCCGGGTTATTTGATGTTCAGATAACTGTTATGAAAAACAAATAATAACAAATAAAATAATTTAACTAAAGTGACAATTGATTTAATTATGAGTGAAGAAGATCTACAATGTAATAATATTGATAAAGATTATTTCTTTATCAAAAGTAGTAAACTGTATGAAAAGAATACAATTTATTTTATAGAAGAAAATAACACATTAGATTGTATTATTATTTATTTTTATTACCACAAAAAAAAGAAATAATAAAAATCAATAAAAAGGTCAATTAAGATATATCCAATTGATTTTATGATTATAAAGAAGTGATTGATTAGAAATTTCAATGTGCTTTATTTTATCACATAGACCATTTCGAATACACATGAATAAATACTCTTCTAACGTATTGTTAAAATTGGTTGTGTAAAACATTAAGTCTTCCATATTTTGATAATAACTAGTTGTTATATATCGGTGAAGTATATTTGTAATTTTAATATATACAACGTTCTTACTGAGTCATTGAGTATCAATTTATTGATAATATTATATGCATTATTTCTAAATAAATTAATTCTATATTTTTTTTTATTTACATCATATTTTCATTTATTGTATTCTCATCCATTCACTGACACTAACCTTCTTATAAATTACTTTTTTCTTCATTCTTTTGATTATTCAATTTATATTTTCTATATTATTTCTATCATTAACGTTTTATTAAGTCAACATTTAGATGACCATAGTATTAATCAAAATTTTATTTCAATGAATAATATTATTTATATTGTTTGATTATTCTTCTCTCATGAACTATATTTTTCTTATAAAATACAAAGTACAATAGTATAATTGTGGCATTAATGATAAATAATTCTGACTTATATTTTCGAGATATGAATTTAAAGAGAATCAATGAATAAAAATAAATCAATAGTATTGTTCTCCAATGAATAAAATAAGTATTACAAATATGAACTTGCCTCACTCAAAATTCAAAATATACATCCAATAAACTCAATATAAACTTTGATTACATAACCAGCTTAAAAGTATTTTTAAAGTATAAAAAAATGAAATGGCAAAACAATAATTATTGTAAAAATAAAATAAAGTTGTATGAAATTTGTTAAAAAAGGTTATAATTAATGTTATTAAAGTCCATAAGTCATAAATCAATAATTAATAAAGATTTACTTTTGTTTAGACTCAGATAAAAGGGTTGTTGGATGAGAATGTAATGTTGTTTTTATTAAAAAGAGAATTCATAAATATATTATGACACAAATTGGAATTATATCAACTGTTGAGAATAGTTTTAATAAACTAATTGTATCTATGCTATGATGATGAGAATAAAATAGGTGTGTTTAGTGAGGAAGAGAATATACTAGAACTTATTCTCTTTATGAATACAGTAAACTATACATCCAAACAACAATGAACTGTCTGTAGATGACAATTAATAATTATTACAAATTTACCAAGATAGAGAAAGAATGTATTGTACCTGAAAATATGAAAACTATGATTGAGTAATTCCAAAATTATTTAAAGATGGAGTCTATTTAGAAAATATGGTATAATATATGAAGAATCAGCAAGAAATAGAATAAGACAAAGTACATTAAAACTTAATTAATATTTCTTGAATGTTTTTGTGTTTTCTTGAATAAAAATGCGTTTGTATGGTAATAAATTATTTAAAAAGCAACTGAAATCAAAACAATATCATAGTAAAACGTCAACAGAGATGATCTTAAAATCAAAAAGTAGAAATCAGATACTTAAAGAGAATGAATGACAGTTTGTCATGATTTTATAAGAGTAAATATTTTTTTGATGTAACTCAAAAATAAAAATGATGTTAAAATAATAAAAAAATAACACCAAAAAGAACAAATTCCATAACAAACAATATTTTAGTTCTTTTTAATTAGGTTAAAAGAAGAAAATGTTAAAATAGAGATAGATTGATGATTTTTCATTGACTTAATTATTATCTTTATGAAGATTCTCTTTAAACAATTATTTTTAACGACATAATACAATGATATATAAATGTTTAATTGATCTGTAAATTCATTCAAAATGCATTCTCAAAGTATTCCTTTATTTAAAGACAATAACGATATCTCTAAGGGATTATCTGACCAATTTAGAAACATTATCTCACACTGTAACAAACCCCATTTTATTTGTATTTGTAATGACCAAGGAAGTAATGAAAACATTAGCATAAATCAAATCATTAATGGGATCTCATCAAATGATTACTTTCATTTACAAGAACCATTGAAAGTTTCAAATGAGACTTCTACATCAGAAACAAATAAGTGTAATATTATTGGACCAATTCTTGTAAGTGATATAGTAAAAAGAAACAATTTAGAAGAACAAGAATTTCAACAAATTTTAAATGATGAAGTGCTCTTTATTGAAATTACAAAACTTAAACTAACTTCTAGTACAACACTGAATAATATTACTGGAATTCTTTCTATTCTCCAGTTATCTTCTGTAAGAATTATTCATAATACCAATGAAATAAATGCAAGTGTATTAGAAGATATATCATCAATTGATAATCTCTCTTGTTTATTACAATTACAAGGAATAAGAAAAGAAGGAAAAAGAGTTATTTGTATTTCATCAGATATTAAAACCACTACAGAAAAAGAAGATGAACTAACTCTTAAAGAGATAATCTTGAATAAACAAAAACATATAAACAATCATCTTGTAAATTTCTTCTCTACAAAGCCACATCAAACAGATTGTCTTTGTTTCTTACTTCCATCATGTTGTCCAGTTTCTCAAAGTCAAATCCTTTGTAGATTTTACAAAGAACAAATGAGAAATATCATTTGTGAAATTCTTCATGAAGTTCCATCAAATTGTAAGTCTGGTTCTTATCTTCTTTCTTGTATAGAAATTCTTATTGAGTGTTTCAAATCAATCAATGAACTAAATACTAATAACATCTTCAATGAAATAAAACGATTACTCAAGAAAAAATATGTTACAACTATTAGTTCAATCAATATGAAATTAGTTGGAATGTTTTATGAAATGAACTTAGATGAAAGAATAACTATCATTGAAGATCAATCAAAGATAAAGAATCTTGTCTATCAAATTATTGAAAAGGAATTTAATCCTATTTGGGATGTATTACAGATTATTTATGGTGATCAACTCACTAATGAATTGTTTGATTCTATCTCAATCACTTCAAAGTATTTAGAAGAATTTATCTTGAAAGATACTCAAAAGATTATTGATGATTTAATTCATTGTAACAGTTTTAGATTAACACCAATGTGGACATATCTTACACAAATTCAAATCAAAGAACAGTTTGAACAAAATAAATATGATTCATTAATTAATAATTACTTAACACAGACACTAACATTAAATCAAAAAACACTTCAGTTCTATTCAAATAAAAAATGTACAAGAATAGATGAATTGAAACATCAATGCATTGAGACAATTAAGTTGAAAACCAATGAAATATTAAATGGAAAACAACAATGGAGAGATGTCTGTATCCAAATCCAAAATTATTATCACAACTTAATCAATACTATTGACAAAGAATTACAAACAAAAGATCTTTCTACTGTT